TCTCAGTACCCGTTGAGATAGTGTAATTCAGAGACCTTGTCCTCCGTTTCGCTGCAATGCATCTCAACGCGCCGGTATAGCTTCCTGACACAACCGCGTTCTTGACTGATCAGGTGGTAGCTGTTGAAGTTTAGTACTTTATTCGTATTGCCTGTTATCATGAATACTTTAGTTTTTGGACCATCACAATATTTACGGCAAACTAGGACATCCAGACAGGCCAGCTGGTTGTTTTCTTCCTCCTTCATCCTAAACTGAATGTCGGGGAAGACGGCGTTGAGATGTTGTTTGAAGTCCAGCACCTGATCCCGTTCGATGAAGACAAAGGTGTCATCCACATATGAACCCCAGAATTTCGTTCTGTGGTGTTGGAAAACCAGCGAATCCAACCGTTGTAGAACGGCTTTGGCTATGAGTCTCAAAACCAGTGAACCCATTGGCGTTCCCTTCACCTGCTCGTAGATTGCTCCGTCAAACGTAAAGTACGTCTTGACCTCATTTGGCAAAAGACTTACCCCTTTAAGTTTCACGAGGAACTGCGCTGGCGAGCTGACTGTTGTGGTTGAATCGGAGGTCAGAAACTTAAGACGTCAAAACAGCCACTTTGACAGCCCGTAATTTGGAGTACCTTTAGTGATACGATTGGTCGGGAGGAAAAAGAGTGCCCGAGAAGACGATGATGAGACGTTATTTGAGTGTCAGCAGTTGATCTCGTACGATGACGACGAAGGTAGCATCCACATACGGAGCCCAGAATTTCGGTCTGTGGTGCTGGAAAAACAGCGACCCCAACCGTTGTAGGACCGTCTCGACTGAGCACCGAAATCGGCGAACCCATTGGGGTGCCCTCCAACAGTCTCCAGTCGGGCCAATAAACCTCTTCTGAGCTGCCTCCTGGAGGTCGCCTGTTCGGAAATGGATAAATTCCAGGGAGGAGGGTACCTACCCTCGTGGCCTAACTTAAACCCTCCAAACTTTTATCCTAACACTGACATCCACAACCCCAATCTTCCTAATCATAACTCGTTTTGACAGTGTATATTCAGATTTCGAAAAAGTCTCCCGATTCCCGAATAATTTTGAGCTTTATCTGTCGCTGCATTAGCGTTTAGCGATTTCAGACTACAAGGTGCATGCTTTCCGCGTAAGGAAAACCATATATTCCACTATGCTTTTAAGAAGATAGCATACAGAGTTCATAAAATTTTGCAGTGGATGCGGAATATGTTGTACATTTCATGAGGAGCACTGGCAAACGGACATTTTTCTCATTGATTTTCGATGTCCTAAAAGTCCAATTATATTTTATGCAAAAAGTGCACAAAAATATTCATTCGTTTGCTCATTCGGTAGATAATTACGTCCTCTTCTAATTTTATACTCGAAGGAAGGGTATAATTCGGTTTTAAAAAAAGTCCCAATTCCCGAATAATTTTGGACCCGCTCTACCGTCACACTTGGATTCAGGGTTTCCAAGCTATGAGCCGTATATTTTCCGCGTACGAAGAACCACACATTTCTCTACGGTAAAAAGGAGGGACCACATAGGGTTCATAAAAGTTAGCAGTGGATTTGATCCATATTGTTAACTTTAAAAGCCACATTGGTAAATGCGGAGATATGACGATTTATGGACGGCCATTTCAAGGTATTTAAAAGTCACAGAATTAGAAACATTTTAAAAAACCGAATCACACCCTTTCTTCGAGTATAAAATTGAAAGAAGGCGTCATTTAACTACCGAATAAGCAAAAGAATAGATATTTTATACATGTTTTCTATGGAATGTAATTGAATTTTAAGGGCATCGAAAATCAGTGAGAAAACTTCATGCTATGTAAGTAGTCCTTTTTACAGAATGAAGTTTTTGCATGCAGCCGGAAGGAAGTTCATTCGAAAGCCGGCCTCCTGAGGTAACTGAATTATTATATAATTATGTTGCAGGCTGACTAGTTTTACAACCCTACTTAATTAATATTTGCAAGTCGAAAACGCATTTCGGAATTTCGGTTAACATTTCATAAGTTAGCCCACCTACTGTAGCTTCTTCGGCGAGGCGAATCTTCTAAATCACCCTCCCGCGTGACAGAATCTGGCTCACAGGTTCCCATCTCCTGTAATAAAGCTGTAGGTTGAACCAAAAACCTCGAACACGCTCCCCGCATTATTCCATAATTTTCTCACACACTAAGCACTAAAGACGTCATCTGGAGCGCACGATCTGCCACCGTTAGAAAAGCTGTGAAGGATGTGCCTGCTCACGAGACTTTTTGAGTCACGCCCTGAACTGAATTACGAGTAACTGATCTGCCGCCCGGATGCCTGGAAGTGAAATTTGGTGCGACCTCACCAGCGCTCCGGCCCTATCCCCTGCAAACTGCCAATTCGATCTGCTCACCGGAAGTTAAGTTCCTCGGTTTTTGGCCCCACCGACATTATCGCGCGTGTGTTGTTGTGAGTCATCATCGTCTCAGAGGGCTTAGCGACTGGCTGAGAGCATAGACCTGAAGGCAAAGGTTGCCCCATTATCGACCCACCCGGCAACGATTCAGAGCCTCACTTGAGCAGGAGAGGGGGGGGGGGAGAGCGACTGTCTGAGTAACAGACAGGCATGTGCCAGAAGGATTAAAACGCACGCATGAGGACTCAGCTCGTGAGTCAAATAAAAGTAGGACCTACTGTACAGGCGAACAACTCTCCTGCGACAGTTGCTACATCAACGAAGGCTTCTCTGTCCCGTGCAAGCGGCCTACTTAGACCTACCGCTGACTACGCGTACACGAGAAGGGGGAGCAACTGCTGTTCTGCGTCTCCCCGCATGTTCAGCTCCGACCATAGTTGCTGAGGTTGTCCATCGTGTGCTCCACAGCAGGGTAAAACAATGACGGTAACTTGCGCAGCATCTACCGCACTCTCTCCTTCCCCCACCTGGGCCCCGTGTCAAGAACATCAGAATTGGGAGAGGCCGCAAGTGACTGAAAAAGCAAAACTCACGCCTAGGCGTATCACCACACCCTTCGGTCCACAACGGACACTGAGGAGCATGATTTCAACCCACGACGGAAGTAGTGGGGCGGCACGGATCCTAATTGGCGTGGATTGAGCCTGCAACTGGGCGTGCCACCACATCTCAAACGTCGACAGTTGTTATGGGTACACATGTCAGATAACGTCTGTCGGACTCCGATCTAGTCCCCGAGTTGGTCCAACGCATCTACCGCGTGGACCGCTTTAGGGGCCATGGCTCGCACGGATGTCGATATATAAACGGGTATACATCGAGTCCTCGATCAAGATTTTGATATAACATTGACGGGGACTGAACTGCATAGCAGGCTGGAGCGAGCTTCTACATGGTTTATCGCATCCGTTGACCTCGGTTCCGGCGGAGTTACGATTTTGCTGTAATCGAGCTAATAAGTGCCACTTGCAGAGTCCGCAGCCGTCGTCTATAGAATTTACTGCAATGACGGCAATAGCGTCTATGTGGGTGAAAATCACAGGATCGCTTGTGCTGACCAACTGGCAGAGTGGATACTGGGCAAAACACTCAACATACACCGGCCACACCGTCAACATACAAAGAGCGTGGAGACAGTCTCCAAGACCGGGGCGAACCAACCTACGGGAGCGAAATCTATGTCCTTTCTGCTCACCAGGCCTTACGGCCAGGGAATTCGTAACCAGTTCACCCGCCGAGAGGTGCCGATTTCATAAAAATGTTAACAGAAATTCTGAAATGCGATTTTAATTATGAAGAATTACTTAGATGGGCGTAATATCGTGCGGTATGCTATTTCAAACACGACGCGTTGTTAGTCCTTGAACGCACTTCGTCACTGCAATATCCGCGCTGGTCAAACAACGTCTATTTAAGTAGTATGTGCTTTTCCCAAGTTTTATACTCAAAGAAAGGGCATCTTTCGGCTTTTGGCAAGTTCTACTTATGACACTTCTTGAGACAATGAAGAAACGCATCGTGTCTGTACGCTTGCCAATGCTCTTTATGAAATATACGACATAGTCCGCACCCGGCGTCAAGTTTTAGGAGCCCAATAGGGCATAGAGAAATGTGATTTTCCCTACACGGAAAGAATACAGCTTGTAGAGTGAAAATCACAAGCGCAAATGCAACGGCAGATAAGGTCCAAAATCATTCGGGAACTGGAAAACTTAAAACCGAGAGGTATCCTTTCGTTAAGTGTAAACTTTGAAAAAGACGCAATGTGCTACCGCGTAAGTACAAGAAAGGATATATCTGAACACACTTTCTATAAAATATATCTGAGTTTTCGGAGACGCCAAAAATTAATAGAAAAAAAGCGTACTGCTGAAGTAGTCACTTTTTTTTTACCGAGTGTGGATTTAGCAGGCCAACATCCTGTCGCGTCAGAAATGTCACAAGGCTATGCCGCACAGTAGTCAGCGCTACAACCCACTTAAGTGATCCTAAGCAAAATCGCATTTCAGAATTTCTGTTTGCATTTCATGAGGTCGGTTACTGACCGTGAGCCGCGCCTAGACATCAGCCCCTCCTAACCTCAAAGTAGACTGCGCCGGCGAATCACACGAGTATGACACCACCACCGCCGTCAGGTGGCAATGGGCAACCGAGACAATAAGAAAAGACTCTGTCCAGAAACAAGGCTAACCAATTCCGGACGCTGTCAAATGTTTGCTGTTCACATAATAGGTCAAGGATCCGGCAGTTCGAAGCACCGTCCCACTCCCATCTCAGGGCTACCTAAAGAAAAACTATTCTTTCTGGGAGGCCCAATATCCGAACCGAGTTCCGTTTTCCAAAAAATCAAGAATTAAACGTTCAAACTTTAAAGAAAAAAAAAACACCGAAATGGCAGGATGAGCGGTAAAACCAACAAACAAGGTAAAAATCAAAGAAAAACAAAAATGGAAGAAAGTGTCGGACAAATGGACCGTAGGTGAGCGCGTGCGCAATGAAAGTAACCAGGTAAGAGAATCACAGAGACGCATCGGTGTTGTTAGGCAGTCGGCTGAGTTGTATTCAGCGATATCACAGTCCTGGCGAAGTCAGGCAGTGCTCGAACGGCAAAGTCGACTATCACAATGTTCAGTCTTCGCGACTGTCCTCGTTGCTGCAGCCACTGCAGGGTACGGGCTCCCGCCGGTCCGGCCAGTGAGTCCAGACCCTTGGAGAGGTTTGCAAAGACGAAGGCTGCGTCCGGTGTGAGGATGTTTTGGCTGACGTGGAATGTTTTCTCGTCAGTGCTGGGGAAAGAGAGAAAAAAAGGGAAACCCAAAACTTATTTGAGGGGATGCTTGTGGGCGGGCGGCGGTGGGGAGGGGAGCTAGACTGGTCGGCATAACGGGCTACACTGGAGATGTTCTGGACCAACACAGATATCAGACTGTCTCGCGACGCGCGTTTCTCAGGCTGCTGCTGCTACTGCTGTACATAAGCGTATTTGTTGTGTGTGACACCCTCACTTCCGGTCTTCTTGACTATGTCTTGACACCGAGCCCAGGCAGGGGAGGAGTGAGTGCGATAGACGCTGCGCAAGTCTACACTCACTATAAACTGATTTGTGCGCAAGTCAACGTGCCTACTGCACAGCAAGGTGGAGCAGACACGGTGGACATAGCCGGACACGACGGTCAAACTGTCGGGACAGGCCTTGGACGTAGGAATCCATGAGGCATCAACCGCTGCGCCCAATTCCCTCACCCGTTGGATTAGCTAGTTTGGACAATCGGCTGTGATGTCTGCTTTGTTTAGATAGGCGTGATGTTAGGTCCTCTGTGATGGTTATGGGTAGAGCTCTTGGGCAAGGGTTAGAGATTCAACGGTAAGCACGGAGTCCTATCCCCTTGGGCCACAAAGGCAACCTCAGGAGTACGTGAATGGGTGCAAGTTCTGGAAGATTAGACAACTGTTCCCTAGGTAGCCTTATCTGACGTACAGTTAGTGACCTAACTCATAAAATGTATCGAAATTTACGAATGATTGCCAATCACTCGCAAACCCACACTATTTCATGAGTCCAATGCCTATGTTAAGTAAGCACAAGTTTAAAAGAATTAAAAACATGAAAGAAATATTCAAGGCAGCGTTGCGTTGTATAGAAATGCGGATTTTTTTTAGAAAAGCGCAATATCTCGAAAACGCCAGAAATGGCTCTAATTTAGTAAACTTCGTTTTTAGATGTATGGAATGTATTATCATACCAAAAACGTAGTAAATATGAAAGTAAAAATAAAATAACGTCTAATAATAGTGCTTAAGTGAAGTTTACATCTAAATATCGTTCAATAATTAGTGTGATTTCATATATGACGGTTTGTCAACTGACTACATTCGGAGTGTAGATTCTAAAACATTTTCCTGGGTTTTGTGTTACCCTTGACTCTTTTAAGATAAAAGAGATAGAGTTCAACAAGAGAAACCGGATTTTGCTTGATGTCACCGACGGCGACATCGTAGGAACAAAAGTTTTCATAAGGTCACATGCTATGGGGCCAGTCGGTGCCTAATAAATTTAAATAGTACTGACAGGCGTGATCGTAAACATACCATTTTGGGTTTATAGAGAAATTTTCTTCCGTTAAATTAATCTACACTTTTCGTTCGTTTCGGATTACGTTGAGTTTCGGATCGGCCTCGAAATTTTGCTGAATACTTCATGATTTTCAGTGCCTTCACCCGATCGTCCATAAAGACGGATTCCGAATTACCTGCCGGTTAAGAACTATAAAATAAGATTATTCTTGAAGGTATTTCCCGAATTAGTGAGTGTTCAGGCGCTCCTTTTCACGAAGAAGGTCGTTTTGGTCACCTGTGAAGACTCATTCAAACATCAAACTTCATTTTCGGAGAAAATGGCTGTCCGCAACGTTAACTACGTCCAGAAATTCTCGCAGCAGTTTCCGTTATCAGATTTCATGAGACAGGTCACGTAGTGTACACTGGGGCCAAGTCAAGTGCAGTTAGATCCTCGATACTGGTCAGACTGTAGGGCGGAATATGGTCTTTGCGGTGTGTCCTGAAACCTCAGTTTGTAGGACGACAGGTAGGCCAGAAACGACGATTACAGTCGGCAGTGCCCTATAATTATTGCTTACTCGTGGTTGTGAAGCCCGCTTCGGGGGGACGCAGGATGGAAGCCCTGCATTTCGTGCTTCAACAAGGGCTAATCCACGAAAGTCCATATCACGCGGCCCTGAATACACCCAATCGCTGCGACTCTCCCCGCGCCCTTCCGCTCTCACCCCGCCCCTGACACTGACTGCTATTACCCCCCCCCCTCCCCCCTCCTCCACATTCCCACACCCAGCCAGTATTTTAAGGCGAACTTTAATCGAATTATCTTATCACTGACGTGTTTTTTCTTCTACCCCGTTCCCATATAATTGAACTGGCTCAACGAGAATTTATCGACAGATACGCATGCTCACCACCTCGTCTTCTGAGTACCGCTATGGGAATTTTCGCAACTCCAAAACAGTCCAATAATCGGAATTCACGATTCACGAATTTACGACAGGATCTCAGCAGCGATTTGTGAATACACTGAGGCATGACACAGATTTAGGACACCGGGAATAGATGAGAAAACGAGAGGGGGATACGATGTTCTGGAAAGTCACTTTCTTGAGCAGGAGATCGTCGAATAGGGGGGAGCGACTTCACTGGGTACAGCATACTCGCATGCACGTAACTTGGACAAATCAGGGTTCCATCTACTAGAAATATATGCTTACTTTGAAGTTCTGAGAGCTCGGGATTCAACTCGTCAAGAAAGAAATCTCAGCGAGGCTGGCAAGAGGCGACCTATAAGCTTGACCTACCAGACCAAAATCTTAAAAGTGGTAGTAATCTCTGACAAAATGCTTCCTGGTCTCCATTCGCGAACACTTTCTCCACGAGGAGGTGAGATTAGCACAGTTGGGGAGGTAAAAGCCCCAGCTAGCAGTTCTGCACTTCCTTCATCCAACTGGCGCCGGGATTAGCAACTAGGTACCTCGAGAGGCATGTCGCCACAAGACTTCAGGCTGCACGCGAGTAGAGGACATGACGGCGACGAAGGCTTAATGTGGCAATTAATGCCTAGAATATAAAACACACGCATCTAGGCGCACGCACGCACGCAGCACACAACAGAATTTGCACGCAGCTGTGGCGATATAGAGGCCGACGCTGAAGGCTCACCATCGATTGGCTGCAAAATTTGCACGCATCCACGCCTTCTCTGCCCCTACGTGCTTATGATCTAGTTGGCGCACGCGAACGCGCGTGACGTACTCAAGTGTGTCACGGGGCGCATCAGAGACAGACGTAAGCGCACGCCATAAATACTAGCAGGTTAGGTGGGAGACGGGGGTCATATGTGGGTTACCCCGTTTGGCCCGAGAAACTGCGAGTGCAGGTCTAGAATACAACAGTGTTTAAACGCACAAAATAAACACTACTACATAATATATAGGAATAATGTATTTAATTTAAAACCAGCTTCGAAAGGTTAGACGCAGCATGAACGGTGCAAACAGGTGGAGATAGATGCCGAAAGACTTACGGGCCATTCGCGTCTAGGAACTGAAAGAGCTTATCCACGTCGGTCGTGTTAGGCCAAGGAGATCGAATGCAACCAGCGGGCCACATATCAGGGAGACAGGGACCGCAGTGGAATATGCAGATAACCTGGTGACCCGCCGACCAGAGCTCGTTGAGAGAGGGTATGCTTCCTGTGTGGGGTGCTAACATTCCTGGGAAAACCTAGGGGGCATAACGAAACGAGAATGAGTTTTTAAGGAAGGGGAAAGAAGGGAGGGTGGAAAATATTTCAGGAGAGAGGCTAATTATTAGACGGCACAGATCCATTCGCTCTAACCAGTTCTGCCGGATGAAGGTTCGGAGTTTCACTAGATAATAAGGGCCTTCACCGGAAGTTTATTTAATCTTACGGCCGTTCAAAGAAAGACACCGCACGAGTCGAGTTTTCAGACTACACCACTGAGTATGACGGCTGTGATGACGTGAAAACAAGGTACGAATTGCGAAAAGGAAGCAATAAATTTGGCAAATTACTAATCACCTCTACAACATATTCACTTTCGCGAACTCAACAGCAATTAACAAAGGTCGTCGATATGTTATAGTGAAAATGAGCTTCAGACTCATGGTAATTAGCACTGTTACCGCACTTGGGTGAGTGTTCCGCAGATAACTTCATGGGCGCCGGCTCAGAAAACACAGGGGAAGGAGTAGTCACCTGTTTTACTAGTGTTTGCAGCTTCAAGGCGGACTCGCGATCACAGCCGTAAATGTGGTTGAAATCGAGGATCACAACCTCCTTGGGGTTATCGCGCAGGAAGGTGCGTACATTGAAGAGCTCACTGGTCACCTCACGGGCAAACTGTCCATGCACAAAGTAGAACATGCCGGGACAAATGGAGGCACCATCGGCCCCCAAGCTTCTACCGCCGCCGCCGGCGCTGCTTTCAGCAGCGCTGGTTTGCAGAACTCGCAGGTCAAAGTAGCGTAGGCCGGCGGTGAGCTGCTCGGTGAGATTCGCGTCCTGCGCACGAGCCCACTTGGAGGACAGTTTGCGGCCCAAGTCGCCCATGACTTTTAGGAGCTGGTAGGCGTCGCCATCGGGGGAAAGAAGGGAGGAGTCGCTGATGCAGTAAGAGCAGGAGTCGTGGCTGCCTAAGTTGTTATTTGAAAAGGGCAAACGTGATAAAGTGGTTGGAAAAGGAGGCAGTAAAAGTGCACTGTGAATACACTCCAGAATTGAGGCCTGTGGCATGAACACAGCAATAATAGTAATGAGTGGCAAAGCGACTACTAGAACACCACGAACACCACCGCTGCTACTACTACTACTACTACTACTTACTACTACTACTACTACTACTACTACTACTACTACTACTACTACTACTACTACTACTACTACTACTACTACTACTACTACTACTACTACTACTACTACTACTACTACTACTACTACTACTACTACTACTACTA